TTTCATTATGTAATGAGTAGCTTATGAAGATTGAGGCACCTTTATTTTCTTTTTGAAGTTCAGAAGCACACTCCAGAAGTTTCATTCTATGTTTTGTAGACAGACCATTCTGAATTGTGTGTCATTAAGTTCTGTCCTAAGTTGAAAGTATTTTGCATCAATAAATAGAGTATTTTATGTTCTACAAGGTTGAACTAAAATAAAAACAAACATTGTCAGAAGTCTAATAAATAAATAAAAATTCAGGATTTTCGGTAAAACTCTGATTCCAAAAATGATTTATCAATCCGAGTTGTTAAATTGTCGCATTTCAACAACCGAGCATTGGCCAATATTTCCAGTTTTTAACAACGAAAAAAATTCTCGATTAAAAGATCTAAGAATACAACCTTTGAAATATGCTCTTAATTTATAGAAAAAGAAAATAAAAATGTTCTATTGTCTATCGATCATTCGTTATCATTAGTCTATGCTATATCTTAGTTGATATATACAAGTTCTCATTAAAAATACAAATAGGATTACAATGTATTGAAAACTATCAGAAAATATAACAAATGAACTTTTTTTTAGTTAGAACTCACCCCATTTTAGTCTCTGATCTTGGATTAGAATGTATAAACAAGATTAAAACGAGCAATTCTTTAGAACAAATAAGCAAAGTACTGTGTTTACTTTTCAGGATACCATGACACTACTTAGCTTTTTCAATAAAGTGAAATTCACAGTACTTTCTTCAAAATCGTATGCATCTTGGATACTTTGCACTTGCTTGAAGTATGTAATACGGGAAATATTGAAAAAGATAGGTTAGATCATAATAGATTCCTATTGAAAATTCTTTTGTTTTTACAGCAAAAAGAAGTCAACCATGAACTTAAATTCGGTTCACTTTTGACGAGCTAACACACCCAGTATTACTGGCCATAAAAGTGCCATATTCTGTCATACATATAACAGTATCACTGACCTTTATTTATAGAAAAATACAGATTATATTTCTTCCGTGGAATAGATATGACCAGACGAAGTCATTGATTCAATCTATTCTAAGTCGAAAATAAGAAGGCGATGATGTTGTTGTAGTATGCTATGAGGCAACCCTAAATAATTCATACTTTGTTAGCAAACTCTGCATCAGCAATGCACGTGACTCATAGTTTCAAAGCAATAAGTCCTATGGCGTGATTTAGATATAAAGAAAATTCTAAATTTAGTTTGCAATCGAATGAGAAACTTTATGTTAAAGACAAGGATATCTAAACATGTGTTCTAGACTGAGAATATTTTGCTTGTGATGAAGTCTCAAGTTTTCTCTGAAATGACACGAATCTGACAATGTATGTGATGAGCAGATGATGATTATATTTCTTTTTTTTTAATTTTCAACTGTATCATGTAAAAATAAATATTCTGGACTTATTCTTTGCTTCAACGTTTCATATACATGCCGCTGGTAGAGATATATATCTGATAAAAATCTGCAAGTTATATTTTGTAATTTATCTGACAATATATCATCGTTTATATGTCTATGATTCATTCTTTCTATAAAAAGAAAATGATCAGATCAAGGTGAATATTAGTACTATAAATAGAATATCGTTAGTTAGCGGATGATTGATAAAATATTGCTCCTGATAGGTTATCACTCTCTTGTTCTTTTTTTTTTCGGTTGCTAAAGTCGAAAAACTTGGTCATAAACATAAAGATTCTTGTTTTTTTTTCTTTTTTACTTTCCAACATATATCAACTCAACTATTTTAATAAAAATGTAATAGACATCTGATAATCATATCATGTTTATAAGATTTTATGAATGTATCTTTTTGATAAATTGATGTAGAATTTTTATTCCTGCGAATGTAAATTTTAATTCATTTACTAGAAGAAAATGATTCTACTTTTGTGCGTTGCTTTTCGCATATGTAAAGGCTACTATCAAGCACTTTTGCTATAACGGTGTTTCTACCAAGCAGAAGCAAAATGTACAGAACATCAATTATTTTTGATACACATATATTTAGCTTATTTTATTTTTTTCTTCAGAATATACTACTTTTTGTCCTCTTATTCTCCCATATCTCTTTGACCTTATCAGAGAATAGAAAAAAATGTGTTTTTTTTTTTTTTCGTTATCATCGTTTGTCATTCTCGACATGAAGATTTTGTCCAATGAAAAACGACGATTTTTTTTTCCTATTACTATATACATCATTTATAAAACTTCGTCATTGTATATTTCAATAAGTTCTGTTTACGACAAGAAGGTTTACACATAGGGTTGACTAGTATTAAAAAAAAGTATAAAAAGACATTTTGATTCAGATTGTCATTAGAAAACACTGGTATGATGTGTTTTATTTTTATTTCTGCTCTAGATTCACTATGTCATCATCATCATCATCATCATCATCATGCTGTAAAAAAGGACCAGGTTATGCTAGTCCACTTGAGGCTATGCAAAATGGTCCACGTGAAAAGATATTATATGTTGCAATGATTCCATGTCAAGAGGACCAACCTAACTATTTAGCAACCATTGATGTTGATCCGACTTCTCATAGTTATCAACAAGTTATTAATCGATTGTATGTTCCAAATGTAAATGATGAATTACATCATTTTGGTTGGAATGCATGTTCATCATGTCATGATGATTGTAGTAGACAACGACGATTTCTTGTATTAGGTGCTTTGAAATCATCAAGAATCTATATTGTTGATACATCCGATGAAACAAAACCTAGTTTATATAAAACAATAGAAAGTGATGAATTAAAGAAATTCGATTTAACAGCTCCACATACAGTTCATTGTTTAGGTAAATAAGGAATTTAAAAATGATGTGAAATATATTTAGAAAATTATATTGTCTTTTTTTCTTAAAAACAGGCAGCGGTGAAATAATGATTTCATGTTTGGGAAATGCTAAAGGTGATCTACCAGGTGGTTTTCTTTTGCTTAATCAAAATTTTGAAGTTACTGGTCGATGGGATAATGAAAATCATCCTTCACCAGTTCAAATCTATTATGATTTTTGGTATAAACCAAGATCTAATATTATGGTTAGTAGTGAATGGGCAGCTCCTAATATTTTTCAGAAAGGTATAAAGAAAAACTTCATTTTTTTTCTTTTCTTTTTTTATTTAAATATTTATTTCATTTAGGTTTTGATCCGAACGATATTGCTTTAAATAAATATGGTCATTCATTAGATTTTTGGGATTGGTCAAAACGTAAATATATAAAAACTATCGATCTTGGTAATGATGGATTAATTCCACTTGAATTACGTTTTTGTCATAATCCAACAACGCCATATGGTTATATTGGATGTGCATTAGGTAGTTCAATATTTCGATATTTTCAAGATGATTCAAAAGAATGGCAAGTCGAAAAAGTTATACAAGTTGAATCATTAACTGGTAATGATGGTAAACCAGTACCAGCTATTATATCTGATATACTTATTTCACTTAATGATAAATTTAGTATGTCATTTTTAGAAATTTTATTTAATATAGATTAGATTTATTTTAGTTTATTTTTGTAATTGGCTTCATGGTGATGTTCGTCAATATGATATAACGGATCCATCAAAACCAAAATTAACTGGACAAATTTGGCTGGGTGGTTTAATTAAAACTAGTAATGATTTTAATGATAAACGTTCACTTACTGGTGGACCACAAATGATTCAATTATCACTTGATGGTAAACGTTTATATATAACAAATTCTCTTTATTCATCATGGGATGATCAATTTTATCCGGGAATAAAAAATGATGGATCATATTTAGCTAAAATTGATTGTGATAGTGAAAAAGGTGGAATGAAACTTGATCAAAAGTTTTATATTTCTTTTAAAAATGAACCTAATGGATCTTCACGTGCTCATGAAATGCGTTATCCAGGTGGAGATTCAACATCGGATATATGGAATTAAACTAACAGCATAAGACAATGTATTTAAGTGTTTTTCATTTGTTGTTTTAATTAGCATGTTTCATTTGTTTTAAATAATATTATAAGTAGTAAGAAAGTATGAAATGTATTACATCTTACAATATATATTCATTTTAAATAAAGACTAAAACTTAGAACCTAATATCTGTATCAGGAAAAAAAAGGAAATTCATAGGTTGTTCATTAGTGCTCAGTACGATTGTTCTGAACTTTTATGTCTGACATGAAAGAAAACTTATAGAAATAAATAGTGAAGAAAAACCTTTTAGCGCATTTCTTACAGGATTAAAATATTAAACACGATGTCAGTAGGCTAAAGAAATATCAACATGTTTGTTGCAGTCTTGGGGGCAAATGGAGGAGATGGATTTCAATTTTCTTGCTATATATATATCAACATTCAAGATGTATCCTGTCAATTAGACCAATCAGTGTATGGGGTATCATCGATTTGGAGAAGAACCACGCTTGTATGTATTCACGTGTGATAGTAAAACGAAAGAAGATATAGATGGAACTCATATATATATGATGAGATGATTCATATATAAGTCCTGACGTCACCCTAACAAATTATTTGTTTGACGGGTCGATTTAAAAACTGACGTAAATCCTTAGATAAATATATTCTCTTTAGAAGAATTTGAATAATTATCAAAACATACTCAATTGAGTTTGAAACAGATTATACTAAAAAAGTATGAAATCAATTCGATTTTATCTAATAATATTTAAAAAAAAAAACATATTTTATTCAACTTCGTTAATCTATGATTCATCTGTAATATGATTCGTTATTAATCCTATCAAATAGAGTAAAGAAAGAATTTCATTCGATCTTATTTTATCCATTCATATATATACTATTTGGTTACTAGATGATGAAATAAAAGGACGAAACGTTCTTTTTTTTATAACCTAAAAAAAAAGAAGAAAATTTATGTTACATTCTGACTTTCAATAAATTATGTATTTTTAGATAACAGATATATATATATATATGGTACTTTATTTGATACTTTAAACAAGCATGGGTACTCTAGAAAATTATTTAATAGCCGTACGACCATGGTCATTTAGTACCAGTATGATGCCTGTTTTATTAGGTAGTGCACTTGCTTACCCATCTTTACGTGCCATGTCAATTATTGTTCTTCTTCTTACTTCTATATCGGCTTTATGTGTTCATGCCGCTGCTAACCTATTTAATACGTATGTAAAAAATTCATTATTCTATTACACGAAAACAAAAAAAAAACAAATTTTGTTGTAATATTTTTGCTTTTTTTTTTTTGTTCTGCCAATTTTCAAGGTATTATGATTATGTACATGGTGTTGATACTCCATTAAATGATGATAATAATAAAGAAATAATAAACGATGCTGATAGTGTTGATGATCGAACATTAATTGAAGGTTTACTTAAACCAAATGATGTTGTTCGTCTTGGTTTATTATTATATACAATTGGTACAATTGCTTTTCTTTTTCTGACAAATTTTTCACCAGCAAAAGAACCATATTTGGCTATAATATTTTTTGGAGCTTTACCACTTTCATTTCTTTATACAGGAGGCATTGGTAATTATTTATTTATTTATTTGATTTTAATTAAGTGTAAAAGTATATGAAAACGAGTTTTTAAAATTAAATTTCATAGTTCAGATTTTTTCTTCATTGGAATTTTTACTTAAGTTCGAGAAATAGAAAAAAAAAACATTGTAGATTTCTATAACGTTTCGTTATATCTCTTTTTTTACAGAAATCCGGGGTAAGTTTTTTTTTTATAGAGTCATTCGGAGTGGCTCCGGAACCAACTCAAAAAAAGTCATACTCTACAAAAATGTTGAACTCATTGAACTGTAACCTTATTTAAGATAATCTTGCACGTCTCTACTCTATTTCTATGAAAATAGTACATTGAAATAATAATGTTTAGAAAATTCTCGAGAAATATAGATCAGTATAATAATACAGCATATAAAGAAGATCTAATAAAGACCATCATCATTGAAGTGTATCGTTGAACAGATGAAGATATTGATTGATCAAGCAATAGAAGATTTCTCCAATATGTTAAAAAGTATTTTAGTGAAAGACTTTGTTTTTAGATGTATATATTAGAATAATACGAACAAAAAGAATAGACACTCAATAAATTATTATTTGAATTTCGAAAGACATCTAATTAAGCTCACAAGGATACCTTCGCAGTCGAGTTATGACTATTTTACTGGGTTTTCGATCCATTATAGAATGTCCTAAAAGTTTCAGAGGAAATGAATATTTTCTTTTTATATCACGACAAAAAAAAAACAGTGTTTCTGGTTGAAACTTTTAAGATATTCTATGGATCATGCGACTTATATATGTATTACATAATCAACGAGTAAGAATTATGTATCCACCGGTATGCATATATTTAGCTATTTGACGTTCTTTTCTTTTTCTTTTCTCGGTTAATTTAAGGGCATTTTATTTTCATATCCATTCTTCAGCAAAGAAGAAGATCATTCTAGATTTTTATTTTTATTTTCTTGTTGTATAAATTCTCTGATTTTACTCAATAAACTATTTATTCGTTTGGTTCAAAAAGTATATTCTATGTAACTATATGAGCGGGATTGTACGTCGAATTTCTATTTTTTTGGATTTATCAGTATACATTTAAAGCTAGATCAAAAATATAGTAAAGCGATTTTAACTTGGCTCGACAAGTGCCCTTTTAGGGATTTTTCAAGTCTTATCAAAACGTCCTTGTACGCTCAACATGAACTCAAACAGCGAGTATCAGTTCGATTGGTACTCTCAAAAGAGAAAAAGTTGTTATTCGTCGACAATTAATTCAGAGAGGATTTGTCGAAATTCGATCAGAATAAAACATATTTCGATAACTATCTTGAAGAACTTTCTGTTATTTTTGAAGGAAAAAAAGTCTTATATTTCTTGTTACTTTATTATCATAAAGTTTTTCAATAGGAAGTTCAAATTCGTTTACAAATTATCTGATATTTTATTACTAAAAAGTCTATGTTTTTATGATTTCTACAAGACAGTTTATCCTTTTTTTTTCTTTCTTTCTTTCTTATCTAAATTATTTCCAATTAACAACAGAATTATAATTATTTTTATCGAATTATAGACTTTAGCAATCGAGGACAACCGGCATCAACAGCATGACTTAGACTGTTCTAGAATATTCCAGAGGCTTCATGGAAATTTCAATGGCTAGAATACGTTTGTGAAAAACAATCGTGTGTTAAAACTTGCTGCTCTAGATATAATGCATATTTACAACAGCCTTATAAGGAGTCACGCTAACAAGCTTTTCTATATTATTTTGTTTTATTCAGCATGATCTAAAATGAGTATGAAAGTATATAAGATAGAAATGTGCACTTTATTCCCCACAGACAATGATATCCGTTATTAATATATGGACTACTTTCGAATTACATATCTAGAAGATGATGAAAAATATGTCCCAAAAATAAAATGATCTCTCTGTGATAAGCAACAAAAGTTATATCATGTTTTACATTTTAATCTCACAGGTATTTCTCTAATAAATCTTGTTGAATAAGAAAAAAAAATTCACTTTTATTTGTTGATTTAGGCTTTAAATATATAGCTCTCGGTGATATAATTATTTTATTAGCATTTGGTCCTATTACAGTCGTTTATTCGTATATGGCACAAGCAGGTCATTATAGTAATTATCCAATACTTTATGCATTACCTTTAACATTAAATACCGAAGCTATTCTACATAGTAATAATACACGCGATATGAAACATGATAGATCAGTTGGTATATTAACATTATCAATATTACTTGGTAAACGATATTCATATTATCTTTATTGTTTACTTATTTATTCACCTTATATAATTATAATTTATATGATGATATATATATCATGGTATTGTTTTTTACCATTAATAACTATAATATATGCATATCGTTTATGTGAAGAATTTAAACATGATCAATTAATAAAATTACCAAATCGAACAGCACTATTAAATTTTTTACTTGGTTTTCTTTATATACTTTCCATTATAATAACAAATACAATACAAAAAGAACAACAATTTCTATTTTGACAAAAACAAAAAAAATCATTTCTATATTATATATAGTTAATAAAAGAAAAATCTCTTTGTGTTTTGTTTTCTCGTATTAAACTAGTCGATTTGTCTGTTGACTTTATTTATATCTGACAAAAAAAAAAAACATATTTTAGATATGTTCAAATTTATTTTTTAATTAAAACAAAAAACAATTTCTATGATTTTTCATGCCTACTAATACAATTAAAAATAATGAAGAACAAAAACAAATGAATTTAAATCGTTCTTCTTATGCACATTTACTTGCTGGAGGGTTCGAACATTAAAAATTAAAAATTAATTTTAATATATTATTTTACTTTTTATTATCTAGTCTTGCTGGTACATTTGGTGCTGTACTGACATGTCCATTAGAGGTGATCAAAACTCGATATCAATCATCGAAAAATGCATTTGCTCAAGGAAGAGATTATCTTAATTTACACTCATCAATGAGTAATACGACAGTTCATCATACTTTCTCAGGGGCCAAAAGTCCAAGTATTATGAATTCCCTTAGGTATGTTTTTGAATTTTTAGTACGTGTTTTTATTTTAAAACTTGAACTTTAGACATATTATTAAATATGAAGGCATTCCAGGTCTTTTTAAAGGTCTTATACCAAATCTGATCGGTGTTGCACCATCACGGTATAAATAAATAATAGATATATTTTCTTCACTTGTTATGTTAAAAAAAAATGATATTTTAGAGCGATTTATTTTTTTGCTTATGCGAACACAAAATCTTTTCTGGTTAAAGAATTCGAACGCGAAACACCTCTAGTACATATAACTTCAGCTGCTGCTGCAGGTAGTTTAAAAAAAAAAAGATCATATCATTATTAGGAACTGAAAATTTATATTTATCTTTTCAAGGTATTGCTATGTCTACATGTACTAATCCATTATGGTTTATTAAAACTCGACTTCAGATTGATCAAGGGTAAGAAGAAGAAAAAAAACATTTACAATTTTACAACATTTAGTCATGTATCAAACCCTAAAGCTTTAGTCATTTTCAATTAAATAGTTCATAGAAAGAAGGTTTTTTTGTATGGAAGTTATTGAGATAAACGTGGATCAGAGCTGAAATGAGTCTATAGAAAGAATGGATGGAAAAAGGAAGAAAGGAAAAATGTCGAAAATTAGAATGTCTAAATAAAACATGATATATATATATATAATTTGATAAATGATATTAGGCAGATAAAAAATAACTATAAAACATAATAAAGACCTAGACTAAATGTCACTTCCCATATGATAATGAGCAGTCATTTTCTTTTTGACTTAATATTTTTAGCAACAACATAAGATAATCCATCGAGAAGTTCATTAGCATTAATATCATCATTACCGTAACGAATATATAATGTATCAATTCGGTGTTGAATGGCAAGGGTTTTCTTTGTTTTTTGGTCGAGCTGTGAGACTTGTTTGAATGTTCGAATTTGAATTTCTTCGGGTTCAGATGGATGACAATGATCACTTTTAACATTTAAAATAATATCTTCAAGATCAGTACGAGCAGTAACAGTACAACATGAATCTTCACATCGATAGTATTTCGTTGTGCTTGTTGTCTTATTCAATTTAAAGATGAAATTGTTTATATTCAATATTTTTTTCCTTTGTGAGACATGATAAATGATATTTTATCATTAGGAGTAGTCATCATATGTGAAAAACCTAAGAATCAATTCGTATATCTTTAACTTTTTAACGATCATCACTCGAAATTCCATCAGTATAACCATTATTAATGAAGTACCAAAAAGAAATTAATTAATCAATGACGATTGATATTTATCTATTATATTCATATATTTACAAAAGCACCACTTAAAGAATAAGCACTGTTAACTACATGAACTAAGCAATTAAATAAGAAATTTTTAGCGAATGTCTTATAGCGACGCCTTATGACTATTAATTCTTTTCCTTTCCTTTCGACATTTTTCCTTTCGCTGTTTTCTAATTCGATATTTTTTTCTTTCGATATTTTTCCTCATTTTTTTCTATATTTTTCCTTTCGATATTTTTCCTTTCTTCCTTTTTCCATCATACCGGTGGAGACAAGCACTGAATTTTCTATATATTTCTATGCGCAAGACTTTTCTTCCTCGATTCATAGTAGTAATTTTATTGTACTTTTAAAAGTTGAAAGATGATAAGCATCGCCGCACGCACAAATGTACCCAAGATGGAGAACACGAATAAAACATGGCAGGTGAATGAATCATATCATTGTGAAAGCATTGCGTAAAATAAGACGATGACAAATAAGTAGGGAATATTTGTTGTATGCATTTTCATCCAAGACGAAACGCTCCAAAAGTGGATTTTTGGAAAGAACAAGACGCAGCATTGCTTTTACGTTGAATTGTTCATTTCGACCTTCAACAAAAACTGTTAAGTAGATCGAAGACAATAATGAAAAAGATTTTGCCTCCAATTTTGTTCATGAATAAAATATACGTCTTGATGTGGAGAGGTCGTTTTTGTGTGTCGCTCAGCGAAGAACATTGATGGATGTTCTGTCATTTCTTCCTCATGAAGCTCGTTCATATCATCAGGCAATGTCACATGTAGCCAGTTTCTTCTGGCTACCCATTCGCCGACTAAAGTGATCGAAACTATGTGCCAACTTTATCGAACTGTTATTGTCGGCTATCGGACCGAAGAACCTATTCCATTCGTGATGGATGCATAAGTCTTTGAGTAGCTTCTCGCAGATCATGATCTAGAAATTCACAAACAGCTATACCAAAATTACACTCTTCCGGAAACCTACGTACAGAAATGGTTCACCATCTTGTGCGTCAGTGTTCTACCGTTCAAAGCGCTCTTTCTCTTTTTCGATACATCTGTCTCTCGAACTTGAGGGCATGTGGGTGACTGGCCTCAGCTGTGCCTGCAGATCTCTTATCCAACGCCATACCCCACGCCCTCACCCACACCCCACACCCACACGCACACTCACACCCACACCCACACTCACACTCACACCCACACCCACCCCCCCCCCCCCCCCCCCCCCCCCCCCCCCCCCCCCCCCCCCCCCCCCCCCCCCCCCCCCCCCCCCCCCCCCCCCCCCCCCCCCCCCCC